CGAGCACCACCGCGGGGGCCCCAACGCCGCCAACCCCAACACCGCCGGCCCCAACGTCGCCAGCCCCCGTCACCCCCGCGCCACCGCCGATCGCCATCTTCATGCCAGAGCAGATGACCACCACGTTGCAGCATCTTCTGACGGCAGTCCAGGGCCTCCATCTGCACATGGCGGGGCCCTACGCACCATCACCGGCTGCGCCGATCGCCGCCTACGGCCACCCCGTGCTGTCGTGGCCATCACAGGGCGCTGCCGCAGGCAGCGGCCTCCCGCTGCTACCGTTTCAGGCGGGCCACCCCAGCGGGCCGCCATCGCTGCTGTTGCAGCCTCATCAGCACCCGACAGCGGGCCCTCTTTGGCCGTAGTGGCCCACTACGGCAACCGCAACACTCGTCGCGCCCGTCCACACTCCACCGCCGATGATGCAACCACCGGCACCACCCCTGCCCAGCTCGGGGGCGCCCTCGCAGGCCGGCCTGCCCATCAATCAGGTCCGGTTCCCGCCCTCTCCGTCGCCAATACCAGCATGGGCGGCTGGGTCTTCTCCATCTCCGGTCTACACCGCGGCTTCCGAACAGCCGACCACGTTCCCGCAGTTTGGCGGCCTTCCGGCACCGCAGGTCGCTACCCGGAGTACTCCGACCAGGCGCCACCGGCCGCCCTGCTCCGCTCCTCTGAGCCAGTTCGACACGGCGCTCCGGCGCAGACACCGTCGCGGTAATACCAAAATCGACTTCGCCACCTATGACGGCACGGAGGACCCCCTCAACTGGCTCAACCAGTGCGACCAGTTCTTTCGCGGGCAGCGCACCCTCACATCGGAGCGTACCTGGCTCGCCTCCTACCACCTCCACGGCGCGGCACAGACATGGTATTACGCCCTCGAGCAGGACGAGGACGGCATGCCCCCTTGGGAGCGCTTCCGCGAGCTCTGCCTCCTTCGCTTTGGGCCCCCGGTCCGCGGGAGCCGCTTGGCGGAGCTCGGTCACCTTCCCTTCACCTCCACAGTGCAGGACTTCGCCGACCGCTTCCTGGCCCTGGCGTGCCATGCTTCAGGCGTGATGGCGCATCAGCGGGTCGACCTCTTCATCGGTGGCCTTCCGGATCACATCCGCATGGACGTGGAGCTTCGCGGACCTCGGGATCTCTAGACGGCCATGTACTACGCCCGCGCCTTCGAGTGTCGCGCGCAGGCTATGCAGCAGGCAACGCCAGCTCGAGGAGGCCGACAGGCCGCCCGGCAGGTCCCGGCGCCGGGCCGTCCACCCCTGGCCGCTCCGACGAGTACCACCCCGGCCGCGACGCGGCCCTTTCGTCGGCTCTCTTGCGGAGTAGATGGAGCGGCGGCGCCAGGGCCTCTGCTTTAACTGCGACGAGCCCTATACGCCGAGCCATGTCTGCCCGCGCCTCTTCTACTTGGAGACGGCCGACTACATCGAAGAGGGCACCCTGGCCGACGCGGCCGACACACTGCCACCCCCAGCGGCTGCGGAGGCCGCACCCGCCGCCGCCCCAGCGACGACACTCGTGGTCTCTCTCCATGCGCTCGCTGGCATCCGCGGTGAGAGGACCGTGCTTTTGCCGGTGATGATCCATGGCGAGCGCTTGGTGGCCTTGGTGGATACAGGCTCCACCCATAACTTCCTGCCCGAGGCTACCATGCGTCGCTTAGGGCTTCAGCCGACGGGCGGGGAGCAGCTTCGGGTCACGGTGGCCAACGGCGATCGTCTCCGGTGCCATGGGCTCGCACGGAACATGCCCATCACCATCAGCGACGAACACTTCTCCATCACATGTGCGGGCATTGATTTGGGCTGTTTCGACTTCATCCTTGGCGTCGACTTTCTACGGACCCTCGGTCCCATCCTTTGGGACTTCGACGCTCTGAAGATGACATTCTGGTGGTTGGGACGCCGCATCCGGTGGGACGGCGTTGGGGGCACCTCCCAGGTGGCGCCGCAGCTCCAGCTGGCCACGGCTACCTCCGAGGCCGAGCACCCACTGTTGGATCACCTTCTGCAGCAGCACGGCGACCTCTTCACCGAGCCACAGGGCCTTCCACCAGCCCGGGCATATGATCACCGTATTCACCTTCTGCCGGGCTCGGCACCGGTGGCCGTTCGTCGCTACCGCTACCCGCAGCTATAGAAGGACAAGTTGGAGCGGCAGTGCGCACTGATGCTCGCCGCGGGCATCATCCGGATATCCACCTCGCCGTTCACCGCGCCGGTCCTCCTCGTCCGCAAGTCAGACGGCAGGTGGCGCTTCTGCATCGACTACCGTGCCCTTAATGCTCTCACACTTAAGGACAAGTTTCCAATTCCGTGGTTGATGAGCTCTTGGACGAGCTACATGGGGCGCGTTTCTTCACCAAGCTCGATCTCCGGTCAGGCTACCACCAGGTGCGCATGCACCCGGACGACATCGCCAAGACGGTGTTTCGGACTCACCACGGCCACTTCGAGTTCTTGGAGATGCCCTTCGGCCTTTCCAACGCCCCGGCGACCTTCCAGGCTCTGATGAACGACGTCCTTCGGCCCTACCTACGTCGGTTTGTACTCGTTTTCTTTGATGACATTCTTATCTACAGCG